CCCCAAAACCCCAAAACCCCTCATACCATCAATTTAAAGGGATCGTAGATTAGAATAAAATTGATAAATTTAATCAATCAACTTAAAATTTTTCGCATAAATTTGTTTAACTTGCTGTTTAAATTTTACCAAATCAATCTTTCATAATTGCTTGGTATTATTCCAAAGTGTATTCACTAGGCTCTGTCAATACACACACTGGATAGGCTAGATTGATATCATTCTTCAATATTGAATTGCCAGAATCAAGGGATTTGATATTTACATCAACAAAACCTTGCCATTATTAGTAATGTAATCGATGATGACAAAAGCTGTGCAGATTATACTATGGTTAGTCTTAAACGACTTGACTTTATTGATCAAGGCTAACTATAAGTCCTTGTGGGATATTAGCAATCTAACAGATCATACTTTGATCAGAAAGTAAATGACTATTATTACCTGAAATCTCATAAATGCCATTTTAAGCTATTTTTACCTAAGTAAATTCCAAGTATTCAGCTCCGTTTTCACCATTATAAAGAAAGGCGATAACATTTTAGTTTTAGACAAGGAGTTTGTAAATTGGTAATTACCCAATAGCATCAGGTTAGAAGGCCTCAAATTCCTAAGCAGTTTAGTCATCTCTTAAATAGTAGGCTTCAAGGTGTTATTGTTTTTCATTGTGATCAATCAAGTGAATATGGAAAATATTTAGGGCATGAGGAGAATGCTCAGAAGTATAAATCTATATAGTTTGGGGTTTAGGGTGTGTATTTTCAGTTCCTAAGTTGATAAATTTGGTCTTAATTTCACCAGAATACATGTGATTGATTTAGTCTGGGAATCCATTTCTATCTTGATAAACAATATAATCATCTTTAAGATTTAGTCCAGCTGGATTAGTCTCAATGCAGAGATAAGATTTTTCACCATCAACGTCTACAACCTGATATTTCATAATTAATGCATGGCTGTCACTGAATGTATCTTTCACTAACACAGCTTATTCTTCTGTAGTTAGCACTTGATAGTTTTAGAAGAATGTACCATCATCAATACAAACTCGATTCGAGTATGAATGACTTGTGTCAAGAATCAATATACCATTAGGATCATAAATCTTTGACACACGAATCTCATTATAAGCAGGATTGTAGCTGTTGATCATGAAATAGGAGGGTGAGTTTTCAACTCTACTTTTAGCGTATCTTCCTCGAATAGGATTAAGGATGACTTGACTAAGCTTTTCGATCTCAGCATTAACTTAGATTAATTTCTCTTTAGTCTCAGAAGCTAATTCTTTCTCTTGTGCAGCGATTGCAAGCTTTTCATTTAATCTAAATATCTCAAGTTACTTGTTCAAATTTTGGTTCCTAAGCAAAGATTTTTCAGCCAAATCTAACTTAGTATCTTAATCTAGCAAATCTAGTTAGTCAACCTTCTAGAAATCAACCGGAGTGATGCTTTATGCTAATTGGTTGATCGATTCAGTATTTTCATTGAACTTTTCAAGATATTTTTTCTTCATCTCGGGATGGAGATATTCCGGTAGCTTTTGAAGTAGTTCTTGCTCTGAAGAACTGGGACCATTTGGGGAATTATTTTATGTCTTTATTACATATTTATAATTGGAGTTGTAATCTCCAACTTCTAAACTGTAAGCTATTGGCTAGTATCGATCAATTGATGGACTTTCACTATCGTCCCAGAAACATTAGAATCTGTACTTGTATCCTGCGAGGACTTTAGTTTTAAACACGAATACATTTTTAGACACCTTTGTCATTTACTCCGATTGCCAATTGTTGAATTCTCCTTTAATTCTCATTTTAGTATCCTCTTGGAGTCCATACTCCTCAGAATAGCCAAAAGTTACATCAACCAACTCCTTTTGCATGGCTAAGATTTCCTCCATTGGATCATAACTCAAGTCTTCCATATCTATATCCATCTCTGTCAATTGCTTCTTAAGCTCTGAATTCTTTTCTTGTTGAATTTAATAGTCATTCTTAAGAAACTATGCTTGAGTAGATAATTGATCAATTTAGGAAATCTGGTTTTAGATTGTGGACTAAAGTTCAGATTAGATATTTTCTTCTTCACTCATAATTCTCTAATTAGTTATATAGGGAAAGCTTCAATTAATTTTAATTTATGCAGGTTTATAAAAGTTAATAGTAAAATGTAAACATTATATTTTAAGTATCAGTGATATCACCTAAAAAATTAAATTCTATCAGAGCGGGGTTTTGGGGTTTTGGGG